TAATTCTTCCTTTTGACGGAAATTATCATAGATATTGGCATATTCCTTGTTTATCTTCAATTCTTCATCGGAGTCGGAATCATCACAATTGAATAACGACATGTTACGAGTCTCTTTTACTAATTTTTAGTTAAATTAACGATTGGTCGTGATGCACAAAAATGTGGGTCGTAGGCAACATGGATGATCATGGGTCGTGGATTGTCGTATATATAAATTACGTTACGTAGCCATGTATACATATGACTTAACCTAGTTTTGATAAAGCGTGTTTGTAATGTTTCACGTGGTGTGATTTTATCAATAATTAAATGCTTCATTAGCTTTGAAGCATATTAAAAATTTTATCGCAAAAAATGTTTTATGTCGAAGAACATTTATCGAATGAGTAAGGACCCCAATTAACAATTAAATTGTATTTGTTATGATTGAGTTAATGTAATTGAGTTGAATTTATTGTAGTATTTTTAAATATTGCAGTATTATAATGTATTTGTTTGTTTACGTTATTATTTTGTTCTTACAGTTTCAAAGACAGCTTCTTACTATATATTTTCTGTAAAATAGTATATATTAATATATATGTTATTATAAGCATACTTTTAAAAGAAATTAATACAGTATATTTTAAATGAAATATAATAATTACATATATATTAGATTATTTAATAAATTTAATATGATTTAATATGATTTAATAATATAATTACTCTAATACAGTTTAATAAGTCTAGGCAGTCATTTCTCCTTTGATGATTATTCATACATGTTTTTACACTTGGTTACAGGATTGTTTATAAGTCACAAAAATGATTTATCTTCTGAATAAGACGTCCATTTTATGGCGACCTGTTTTTCACAAGAATATAATTTCTGGTCCTATTAATAAAAACACTCTTGTGAAAAGTTATAAACATCTTAATAATAAAACAAATGCTTGGACAGAGCAAAAATATAAACTTAAGGACAATATAAGCAATGATTATCAACTTGTATATAGGGAACAATCAAGTATATGCACATTAATTACTTCAACATATCATTTTGGTTGGCTAAGTCTTGCTACTAGTCTATTTACTCTGGGATATTTCATCTACATGAAATCACCAGTACAGGAAGGAATAGAGAATACATTATCCGATGACGAATTAATATTAAGGCCTTTTTCTAATTGGGAAAAGCTATTGTTGATATTTGGTAGTTTTACTATATCGATCATGCTCATAGTAAGCAGCAAAGCAATTCCGTTCCGAATTTATTATAATTCTGCAGATAAAATATACAAGGCTGTGTTTGTAAACAGAATATTAGGCAAAACACAAATGGAAACTTTTAGCGAAGGTACTGTTGTTCCTGTATTTAATCGTAATCGAGGAGATATATTTTTTAAGCTCAATGGCCGTATTGTAATACTTGATAAAGAATGTTTCCCAGTGCAAAGCATACGTGAGCGAATGATTTGCAAAACCGAGTAGAACTATGTGTATTAAATTTATATACTATTGCACTTTGTGTATATATCACACAGTGATATTTATTAATGATATTTTCCTTTTACGTCAATCATGTAATTGTAAACAAAATCGAACTAATGTTAATATATCAATAAATGTAAATATATTTTTTATGAAATAATATAAAATTAGAACCATCACGCTTTTATTTTTTGTTTCAATTTTTTAAATAGAGATAATTTGTTTTGTATACTGTATGAATTCTGTATATTGTAATAGTAAATATTTAGTTTTAATTTTCTTAAATTTCTTTTTTAGATAAAAATATAAATTTTTATGTACATTCTTATATTGTATGTATATGTGTAGAAAATAAATTTACTATACATATACTTGCAATATATAAAAGCATTTGGAAGAGAAAAATATTGTAATTGGATACATATGAAATAAATAATGGTTAATGTTTTTGTTTTATTTAAAACGTATAATAATATAAAAGATATATATATATACACATACAAAATGAATATTTAGTCGAAAAAAATATAAGACATTTAAAAATTCTGATATATCCTTACAAAAAAGGATAATATACATTTATATATACATTCATTTCTTAAATAAGACTATGTTTTATTTTTATATTTCTTAATTTAACAAGAGATTGTTAATACTTATCAAATTTAAAAAACAATAATTTCAGACTTTGATTTTTAAATTATATAGCATTTTATTTGTGTGAATGATAAGATTTCTAATTCTCCTAACTTTACATATGTATTTGCACCATACAAACACTGATATGTAATAAAATGTAATTATGTGATAATATTCAATAAAAAGTTTGTTTTAAATGGACGTTTTTCACAAAAAATTGTTTCCCAGGAATTGCATGTAAAATTTATATTACATTATGTAAAGTAATATAAATTATATTATTTTATATTTATATATGCTTTATATACAAGCTTGAAATTTCTTATTTAGTTAAATTTGTACACAGGTGCTCTTCGAAGTAATATAACGAATGTAATACAAGCTATCACTAAACAACGCTAAAATATAATATCTTTTTCCTAGTATTTTTTTCCACACAATTGTTTCTCAATCTATATACTTGCATACTTGTTCATATGGCAGTTTTTCCAAAATTTGCTTATCTTTTTCGAGTTCAACATCTATGCTATAATGCTCTATATGTAATTTTTTCACTATTGCTCTCATACCTTTATGTTTTCCCCAAAGAATAAGAATTTCTTTACCTATCGCAGGAATTACTGTCTCTAAATATTCTTGATCCAGTCGTATAATATGTCCATTAACTTCTTCTGGTGTCTTCAGTTTTACTTTACCAACGAAACCATCTGTTCCAATTGATTGAACAACGCCTTTAGCTTTGTAATATTTGTCACCTAGACTTTTTGTGGTTACTTTAACCATTAAACCTTCCCTAAGCCAACCTTCAGTTGCAGAAGGATTATCATTACTTTTTAACTTCTTGGTAAATTCTGTTTTATTGTCATCATTGGATCTTTTAAGTTTTTTGTTTTTCTCATTGATTGATTTACTTGAAACTAATTTACTCTGACTATCTTCACTTTTTATCTTCTCCTGCTTTACTTCAAGAACAGGAAGCAATTTTGGTTTTGGTTTTAGCTTTATGTCGAGGACCAAGGGTGTATCGTTCTCAGAACGCATCAATGGTGTCTTAGATGTTTCGCCCATTTCATCTTTTGTATCCTGTTTTGCTCTTTCTATTTGCTTGTCAATAAAATCCATCAGTCGTTCCTCATCATCTTTGTCCATTTTTTCTTTTTTTGCTTTTTTTTCCTGTGCTGCAAGTGTCTCAGGATCCCTATCAATATATGTTATGTACCAGCCTAAAATAACATTTTTTTTTAATCTAAAATTTTATCGATTGATAAATCTTTGTATCTGTAATTATCAACAAGTATAAATAATTTTAACAATATACAAACCTTTTTCAGTTTCGTCGACAACGCACTGTCCAGTACGTCCAAGCCATTTTACAAATGCAGTCAAAGTGAGCCACTGAGTCGCATTCATATGTATGTGTCCTCTGTCGGCAATGTACTCTTGGTATACTCGATTTGCTGGTACTCGTCTGGTGCCAAATTGTCTCTTCAATAGATTCAGATATCCCTGTGAAAATTCCCGTGAGAATTGATCCATATATCGATGCGCATTTTCTGCGAACAGCAATAGCTGTCGATGATGTGACTCCGACATCGTGTGACACTTGAATCCATTCTCATCCCGACACTGTTTTTGACACATTTGACAATACCATCTTAACTTCTGCAATCCTTTTGCTTTGATTTTATTAGCGATATACTTTGGTGTGCCTACTTCATGCTTCCCCATTGTTTATGTTCTATTCTTAGCAGTTTTAGCTCAAAGAGAGAGATTGAAATCTACAATAGGATTACAAATCGAGTAACAATAAATTATTTATTTTAAAATCTAATTCAATCATAAATTTAAAAAAATATATAATGATAATTTGTTTATAAGAGTTACAAGTATTATTTACAGGTTAGAATAAAAAATAAGGAAAATTCAGCATTTTTATCACATTTTAATTTTAGCATATTGAACTTACAAACTATTTTCAAAAACTGCCAGAATATTTTCTTATTCAGCAAAATGAAAATTTTTTTTAAACTGTCAAAACAAAATTCCAACAAATTTTTATTATACTGCGTTTGTTCAATAGTCTCTCTAGATCCAACAATATGCTATGATCAGACAGGCCAGAGAGAAACTTGAAAGAGGCTATGTCAGCTTTCTTCCTATTACCGTCGAAATTACTCATACACTACCGCCAGTATATCCATTTTTGGAAACTACGCGACTACATATATTTTCTGACACTATCGATAAAATTGTAAATCGTCGAAAGTAGATATTCGTCTCTGTACTAAATTCTTAGGATAAAAGCCGACTACCCATAGGAAGAATAATAAATTTAGTGAGTCCTTGAACGAAAAAAATTTTAATTTCTACATATGTAAATAAAAGTTGTTGAATTTTAATAAATAAAATTGAAAATTCAAACAAGTTAAATTAATAAAATTTCAATTCCGCATTTTTACATATGTAAATAAAAGTTGTTAAATTTTAAGAATTAAAAAAAACTTTTTCTGACTTTTTCTTATTAAATATTTTATGTAAATTTCTGTCCTGAGGATTTAATACAGAGAACCAAATCTATTTTCGACAATTTTATCGATAATGTCAAAAAATGTATATAGTCATGTAGTTCTCAAATTGAAAATGGATATATTGGTGGTAATGTATAAGCGATTTCGATAGTAACAGGAAAAAACCGACCTCAAATTCTCTCTGCTACGGTATATGATGTCAAATTTTCATTGGTTTCAATGTGATTTGTTGAGTCAAACAGTAAAAACCAATCATATTCGATTACTATTTTAGTTCAGTGATCGTTGTGGATGCATTCATTGATTCTAGGGATACGTAATTTAGCGTTGGTCATTCTGCCTTCCATCAGCTCCCTCTTTTATCCCTTTCACGATCATCGTCCATGATTCTTTTCCTTATTGAAAGAAAGCCGATTCAAGATGGTTAGTGAGGACGTGAGATTGTAATCCGAATTTATTTATAACATCAATGGTTAATGTATTCCGATTATTTGATGAAAATTGTATTATTGCTACAGTTTAATCGGTGGCTTGTGAATATTTTCGAATTTTATTCTTATGACAGATTTATGTCACATAACCTTGTATCACTGAACACAGAGCGTCACAATTGTCGAGTTATAAATTAAACAGAAAATAAAAGGAGATTATATTTTTTGCATAGCAATTTGTATCTGGACAAATAAAACAATTAATATTGCAATCAGATTCATAACGATTCATAACTCGTAGTCATTTTATTTTAGACAATATAACATGTGAATGTACTTAATATGTATATTGAATTGTTCTAGGCAAAAGTGAAGTGTTCTGAATTAAGGACCAAAGATAAGCGAGAGCTGATGAAGCAGCTCGAACAGCTCAAAACAGAATTGACTACTCTACGAGTGGCCAAAGTGACTGGAGGAGCTGCATCAAAATTGTCCAAGATGTAAGTTTTCTAATTCTTATAATTCATTTCAGACATTCACAAATGTCTTCAGTCTTTCAAATTATGATGTAAATAATTTATAAAATGATAAAAATATTAAACATTGTTTTTTTGATATTTATACTTTATCTCATTTTATTTAAGATATTAAGAAATTTGTTGATTATATCATTTTATATACATAATATATAGAAATTAATTTTAATCTGTAATATTTCTATGAATTTTTCTATTTGTTATTTTATTCTAGTCGTGTCGTGAGGAAAGCTATTGCACGAGTGTATATTATTATGCACCAGAAACAAAAGGGAAATCTCCGCTTACTTTACAAAAATAAAAAGTACAAGCCCCTTGACTTGAGGCCCAAGAAAACGAGGGCTCTACGTCGTGTTCTTACTCCCTACCAAGCCAGTAGAAAAACGTTGAAGGAGATACGTAAACGCTCTACGTATCCACAGAGAAAATATGCTTTGAAAGCATAGTATGTACATTTTTAATTACTATTCAAAATAAAAATTTCATTAAAATATTGAGTGTTTATTTGCAACAAAATATTGACATTCACAATCTGTTAGCCTTTTGTTAGCTAGGTGCAAGAGAAAACAAAAATTCTATCTGCAAAATTATTCAAGGCACTGTATATTTATAAAATAACTCTTCGGATAAAAATCTTATGTCCGTACTTTTACAAGAGATAAATACAGAAGTTTTAGAAAAGTCTAAGAAGTCTATATACAAGTATTATTATTCTACATGACTAATTTATATTATATTATAATTTAGTTATAACAAAGATTAAACAAATTTATTATTCATGATTACACGGTAATGAGCCTTCCGGAGCACCATGGACAAGGATGAAAATTAGGTTCTATAATACATATATCTTTACAGTCTTTGATTTCCGTGAGAAGATCAAGAATATCTGATGCAGTTTTATCTTCGATCAATGGTTCTGCATTGTCTTGCTTTTCATTTTCAGGTAGCGTAGGAGCATCAGCATTTGTATCTGTAAAGAGAATACAATCATATACATAAACACATACATTTTTTTCATCATCATTTCTATAGATCACTTTAATTATAACCAAAATAGATTATAATTAAATTTGTATTTAAAATGTAGCCTTCACTCATTTGTGTTCGATTCATTAAAAAATTCTAAAGAAGGTAATTAAAGAAAATATTAAGTACAGGTAAATTTACCTTTATAACAATTTATTTCTGTGGAATTTATTAGTGTTTCGGGATGTTTTTTAAGCAAGTCAGTAACTAATACTTTTAATTTGTGCAACTGTTCCTGTTGTTGATTACGTTGCTCCACTAATTGACGGAAGGTTTGCTCTCTTTCCTTCCATTTTTCTCCTAGAATTGCTCGTTGCTTTTGATATAAAGTTATGTATTCTCCTGTATAAATGTATGCGCGTTAATTAGATTTTTTAAAATAAAGAATTCAAATGTGTATGTACATATGTTATGTGAAAAGTAAAGGATTAAAACAATAATTTGTATATAATATTAAATTTAAGATTAAAAATTAACTATTAAAATAATACAATAATATCTAAAAAATTAGGAGTAAAAAAAGTAGGGCAAAGTTTATGTAATTGAAAGTAGTATAACTTACCTATAGTTTCTGTTTCACCTTGGAGCTGGAGAACAAGATGTTCTAATTTCTGTTTCTCGTCAGTTAATTCAGCGACCTTTTCCATTGTTTCCTTAAATCTGTTTTCTAATTTTGTAATAGGCCTAAAATTGTCTGAAATATTTTTATCTTCTGGCAGTGGTGAGTTTTGCATTGTTATAATATCATTATAATTTTGCTCATTTTTTGTTACAAGCTGATCTTCATTAACTTTTTCAACTTCTCTGGGCAAATGTGTCTCTTGCTGTACTTTAGTTTTTAATTCTTTTGCGAGTTCTTCATTCTCATTTTTCAAATCTTCTATATAAATCTGTAATATATAAATTATGAATAATATATATATAAATAAAGTTATGTTAAATAATGAAATCATAGATTGCATTCTCACGTAAAAAACATATACATGTATAATTCTAAATTAATTAAAATTATTAAATTACTAAATAGTTGACAAATTACCAAAGCATTTTGTAATTCTTGTTGTAACGTTCGGGCATGGTGAGATTGTGCTTGATAATGCTGCATTTGATCTGCAATTTGAGCATTTTGCAGTTTTTCTTTTTCTAATTCTATTAAAAGTGTTTCCTTTTCTTTTAATTTTTCTTTCAGATTATCCATTTCCATTTCGACATTATTTAATCTTGCATTTAATTTTCGACCAATATTTCGTTCAGCTTGAAGCTGTTCTGTTAAATCCAACTTAGCATTACTCTAAAAAGAAAATAATTATATAAATTTTTAAAACTTTTAAATAAATTTATGTAATAAAAAGAAATATTATAAATTTTTTTAAATCAAAATATATTAATATTAGATCGATGTATATAACTACATCACTCACAAGAGTAACAAAAGCATTTTCCATTTCAGTTAATTGTTCCTTTAACTGTTGATTTTGTGAAACAGCTCTAGATGCACCAAGTTTTTCACTTTCAAGAGCCTCTACTAATTTTGCTGCATCAGTTCCATCATCTTTCATGTCTCGTAAATCCTGTATTTCTTTTGTTAATATTTTAATCTCTGCATTCTAAAAATCATCTTGTCATTAAAAAAATTTGTCTACTAAGTTCCTGAATTGTTATCTTTTTGTATATATTTTTACCTTTTCAGATAACGTGATGTGAAGGTTTTTATGTTGTGCAGTTAGATTCTCAATATTTTTCATTAAATTAGTTATTTCTTCGTTATGATCTTGCGATGGAAGTATGGCTTCACTTTTCTCTCTTTCATGCTGCAATTGTTGTTCTAAATCCGATAAACGTTGTATGTAACTTTTCTCTCTACTTTCTAAATCACTGATTATTTTTTTTCCACTTTCAACCTGCAATTACTCGATATAAAATGACTACTTTTATGAATAAAGTTATGTAAACATTTAATGTACCTCATTAAATAATTTTGCTTGCTGTGCATCTAACTGTCGTACATAATTTTGATATTGTCTACTGGCTTCATCCTTCTCGTTATTCACTAATTTCAACGTTTCTCTCATTTGAGCCAACTGTTGTTCTAGTACTGTTACAGTTTGATGCTGGGACTCTAATGTTTGTGATGTATCAGTTAGCTATAATCAATTTATTTACATTAGTTTTAAAATAAAATGATTGTAATTTTCAACAAAAATCGTAAAAAATTACTTGTTGTATTCTTAATTCATTTAAGGAAAGTAAGGCTGCTTTCTCTTGGAATTCTTGTTGCAGAGTAATAAATTCAGTATTCTTTAAATTTAATTTCTGTTTTAATTCTGATGTTTCCAATTCTAAATCTTCCTTTTCTTTTCTATAGACGAAAATAATTATTCGATTATTTTGCATGATATACATATTTAAAGCCATACATTTATTAAATGGCTTCAATATAAATACCTGAGTTCATAAAAATTCTTCTCGAGCTCATCATAGATTTGTTGCACTTGTTGAGCGTTTTTCTGAGTATCAGTAGAATTACTTCGTGTTTGAGTTAATTCTTTTTCAAGCTCGTTAATACGAAGTTGGCTATGTTTTAATTTTCCGCTTATCTCCTCTATCTCCTCTAAAGCACAGATTTAATTGTGACAATGAGAAAATAACATTTTCCGATATTGTCAGAACAAATTTTGCGTTTTCTGAGATTTTATATGCAAATTATAATAAATAATAACCTGAATTCTGTTTCGCAGTTTTCTGGCTCTGTGCCAAAGCTGCTGTAAGCTCCGCCTTTTCTGCTATCAGGATACCAGTAGTTTGTGCGTGAACTTGTAATTGTTCCTTCAGAGGATTTATTTCGCGAACAAGTTTGGCTTCAAATTCAGAATCTTTTGTAGCTAGAATTCCTTCCAATTCGGCTACTCTGCTATGCTATTTTACAGACAACAATGAAATTAGATATAATCCAGTATTTTGTACTTCGATTATGTTAGTTTTAATGACAGTTTGATATTATTATGTTATCGTTGTGCAATTTTTTTACCATATATAATATCTGCGCGATAACATAATGGTACCAAACTGTCATTAAGTTATAGAATTGGAATGCACGAGCTGCATATAGTGTCAAAATATACTCACATAACGACTAACTTGAATGTGTAAGTCATTTACAAGTTGTTTCTGTTCCTCCAAACATGAATTTAAAAATTGATTGCGACACTTTAAATCAAAATCAAGTGAACTTGATGGTTCACTGTGATCTATATCATCAGTAAGAACATGAGCAACTTCTGAGGCCATTTCTAATAAATATTCTTTCTGCACCGTTGGTCCATTAGATGCTGTAATATTCAAGTTATATTTCTCATCATTTCCCACATATTGTGAATCTGATTGAAGACGCGAATGCATGGTGTTTTTGTTGCCACTTTCATGTAATCTGGCAGTTTCTGGATAATTTTCCAAGGTGGGAAAGCTCTTTTCTGTTACTTCACTATTACTTGTTGCTATTTTAGTTTCAATCGTATCTGGTAAGTTATTAGCACTATCAAAGTGATTTGTTATATTTTCTTCTTTATGCATAATATCTGTATCATATATATGTTTCTCAAATTGTTTTTCTATATATTCTACTTCATTCTTTTGATTATAGAGTTTATCCATTTCTACAGTTTGGCAACTGTACTTTGTTTGGCACTGTCGGAAACATTGTTTAAACATTATACTTCAAAAATATATATTATATTTTAATAGAAATATATAAATTTCTATATTGTTATAGAATAATTACCTGTGATATGGATTCATCTATAACATTTGAATCTTGCTGTTTATTCAAGGTTTCTTGCACTTGCAATTTCTTTTGCAATTGGAATTCCTTCAGCTGTAACAACAGTCATAACTTTATTCAAATCCATTGACAAGCAAGATTTTATTATGCTAAAAATTTAATGCCAATAAAATATGTTAGCATTGCATTCTAACAACTTATAACATTTAATGTAACAACTTGATAATGTCATTATTATAATTATATCGATAAAGAGTATTTCGCAGCAAGATTGCATTTGTATTGGAGCGCATTATTTAATACATATACGATAATTGTATTGAATGTGATGTGACAGCTGGTTCCAAATGTAGAATTACCTTCTTCTTAGCAGCTAACAGCTTCTCTGTCTTACTCATATTCATTGCAATAGTTTTCGTGGTGAAGGGCTCGTTAAGGGTTATTACGTCAAATACAAAATCTCCGGAAACACTTTACATTGTTTAGAATAGCGGCAGGGTATTGCGTGATGACGATGATAACGTCGTTTAAAAAGGGTTATATCACGTCTATTAACGTCTACGTGTACCATATAGTGCCACACCTGTTCCTTGTCACTAAATTGCATTGAAACTTTCTATCTCACTTTATCAAACTGGAAATATATATCAATTTCATTTTAAAGTGCAATGAGTGTAGACTAGT